GCGATATGCTGACTCTGTAAACCGCTTAGAGAGGGCTGAAAGCCCTATGAAGCGGTATATAAGTCTAACTGCTATTGCTATTGCTATATATAGACCTAAATGGCCTATTTCTTGCTAACATCCCAACCTATTTGGATATCTGATTGCAGAAGAATGACATTCACAGAAGCAGGAAACTTGCAGAGAAAAAGATGCCTTAATTTATATATTTATTTATCTGATTTATATCTTGACTTTGTCCTCTTTAAATGTCCTGGAGCCAAATCATTTTAGGCCTTTTTAAGCAACTTGGGGAAGATGTCATTGAAAAGTTGCAGGGTGGAGCGTTTCAGCTCAGGGTTGTAATCTAGTGATCACATAAACTTCCAGAACTTTCTCTCTCTCTTTCTGTAAGGAGCTACATGTGTTTTGAGGCCCAGGTTCTCTGTTTCTCATTACTGGGATGACTGCAGACGTTATCATGTCACTGTAATTCAGTATGTAGGAGAAATGATGCGCTACTTGTGTAATGCACCAAAGGTAATTGATAAAATGGACTAATACTTCAAAAAACTATGTTACAAAGAAGAATAAGGGATTGCTTGCCAAATTGTACGTAGCAGTGTCCAGGAAATATAGATATAACTCTAGAAGAGAACTATGCTTGTATCATATTTTAGAGACCTAGGCCCAGTTTGTCATGAATGCTGAGCCTGTTTCTGTATTCCTTTCTTCTGTATCCATTCCTTCTCCCTTCATGTAACTCAATTCCCTCCCCCATTTCCTATTTCATGAAAAATTGATAATTATACTTGCCAAGCAGCAGGTTGTAGAACAGATATATATATACACACACACACAAATACATATGTATATATAAATCTTATCTATTATAGAGGTAAAAGGAAAAAAAAGAATTTTAGCATTACTAATCTTTCACAGAAAAATAGTATTGTATCTTTATATGGGAATATATAGTTTAATACAGGTAGACTGATGCTATGGTGCTTGCGTCCATGTGGACGCTGCCGGGCCCATTCCAACTGTACCAGAACTCACCGCTGCACTGTTCTTTTGTATATTCCTCATAAGAAGGGTCTCAGCAGCTTGCAAAACACTGAAAAAGAGCTTTGGGATATATGGAGGTAAAACAAAGAAAAGTATTCTAAGAAAGATGCCTAGGAGTTTAAAAATTGCTGTCTGATACCAACAGGTTTAGGGTTGCTTAGCTTTGTTTTTGTATGAAAAGTTTGATTTGAAACTGGCCAGTTCGAAGGCTGAAGGATTACAGGGAGTTTTCGAAAGCAGAAATATGTGTAGGGAGCTTAGTAGATGACCACAATTTATCTGTTGAGGAGCATGGATGGAATAGTCATTGTTTCAGCAACAGAAAATAACATGTTTCCTAAGAATAATTATTTGGTTATAAATGCTAGAATATGGTAGTTCCTAATATTTCTGCTAGTCTGTAGTCCCTGTTACTTGCTCAGAGATGATATTCAAGTTAATATTAAGGTATTAACCAGAATTTGAAAACCAAACCTGTTTTATTTATCTACCGGTGCCATGGATTTCTATCTGTTTAAATTAAAGGCATCATTGTTATGCAACTGTAGTCTGAAATAGATAAAATCTCCTCATAGATTTTATAGACTAATTGTAAACATTCCTTATGGACTGTCACTCCTTCCCACCATCTTGTAGGATGTTCTTCAAGCAATCTCTTAAAAAACTGGCTCACTGCCTGATCAATTGGCATGGCCACTGCTAGTACAGTATTTCTTTTGGAGAACTCTAATTTCCTTGATGTCTCACCTTGCAGAGAGATAATGACCGTGACCATAGGGTAAGACTAGCCATTGGCAATGGAATGCGGATAGAGGTTTGGAAGGAGTTCCTGAATAGATTTGGACCCATCAAAATCTGTGAAGTTTATGGAGCTACCGAAGGAAATGCTGGATTCCTTAATTATGTAGGAAAAGTTGGAGCAGTGGGAAAGTCCAATTTCTTTTATAAGGTAATGAGAAGTTCTTAGGTCTGTAAATAGATAAAGAAAATATCTGGGCCACTTCTAGCTACCTAGACCTCTAGCCTGTGTATACATAGAATATAGGGTCATAAATTACATATTTAGAAGTACTTGAAATGTAATTGGAGTATTTTAAGAAAAAGATATAAAGGCCCCAAACCCAGCACTTTAAATATTCTCTCTGAGTTTGTGGAACTGTCTGAGGCCAAATTCTCTTCTCCCCTCAACTTTTGGTATCATTAGTCTCCAAAGGCCACATGACTATCATTGGAATGAATTAGGTTTTCTTGTTTTGGAGATTTTTTTTTAAAAATAGTACATTAGGCTCCCCAGGAGTGGAATTTTTCAGAGCACATGGATTGGTCAGCTATTGGGAGAATGATGCTAGTTCTAATGTTTTACTCCAAGTATATCTCAGACAGAGGCTCTCCAGGGAGGTCTATATATGACTGCTTTTTTGCTGCAGCAACAGTAGAAAAATGTTAGGGTAGCTTCTGAAGAAACTGCTAGCTCAAAAATCCTCCTAGGCAAAACCCCCCGAGGATGCCTTAATTGGTTGGATGTAAGCAGTGGGTGTCTGTCCATCTGTCTGTCTATCATCTATTATCTTCCACCTTTATTACTTTATAGGTAATTCAAAGTGGTAAACATATCTAATATTTCGTCCTCATCCTAATTTCACCACAACAACAAACCTGTGTGGTGGGCTGGGCTGAGAGAGATACTGGCCCAAGGTTACCCAGTCAGTTTTCATGCACAAGGTGGAACTAGAATTCACAGTCTCCCAATTTCTAGCCAGCACCTTCACTACTATATCAAAAGGCAAGGGTGGGATGCCTGATGAAAGTGCATCTCCTCTTACCTATTACAAAACATCTGAGAAAACATCAATCCAAAAATACCTGATTCTCTGCCCCACTACATCACAAGATTTGTTCAGAGGATAAAGGGAAAGGCTTTAGCTTTGTAGGGTTTAGCTAGGCCTCTTTATCCAGCATGAAGTTCCTTTGACTCATTAAATCCATACAAACCTGTCATTAGTGCCTGTTTGGGGCTCATATTTCTACTTGTGTGTTCAATTTCAGAAAATGTTCAACTATGAATTTGTGCAATATGATGTGGATGCAGATCAGCCTGTGAGAGATGAGAAGGGGCTCTGTATCCCAGTGCCTACAGGTATGTTTTGAGATAGATGGATAAAAAAATTTAGACTTATTTAAGATAAACCAGACTTTTCATTGTCAAGAATTCACCCCATAGAAAGAGATATGGCCTTTAGTGTAATCTTTTCAAACCTGCGCCTCCCAATCAATTGGGCTTCAATTGATTCAAAACTTGAACCAATTGAACGGCTTCAATCAATGGCTTCAAAACTGCAATAAATCCCAGGCAACGTCAGGTATATGGCAGAGTTTCCCACCCTTTCCTGCTTTGCAGACCGGCAGGTGAGGAAGAGGGGATAGTTCTGTGTGACAGCCATAACACACATGTGCAGCCCCATGCACATGTACCCACTATTCACGCAAATGGAGCACATATGCACATGCTTTCCCATTGCTCAAGCAAGTGCAGATGCCTGTGAATGTTCACCCAATGCTTCCATGGCCCAGTTGCAAGCAGCTCATGGCCCATTAGCAGGTTGCAGGCTAGGAATTGGGGACTCCTGGTCTATGGTATTTAGTAATATGGTGCTATTGGTTGTTTGTTGTGAGACAATCATTTATTGATTCTACTTGATTCCCTTTTTGTTGTTATAGGACAGACAGGTTTAATGGTGGTAAAAATAAGTAAGAGTGTCCCATTTGAAGGCTATGCAGGAGATTATGGAAACACAGAGAAAAAAATTCTCCATAATGTCCTGAAGAAAGGAGACAGTTATTTTAATACTGGAGATCTTTTGAGGGAAGACCATGAAGGTTTTATCTATTTCCATGATCGACTGGGAGATACTTTCCGGTGAGTCTCACTATTCATTCAGTTAGTAAATTGGATCTGTAGTTTTGCTTATGTGGAGTAAGATACCGAATGGGCCATGATTCATTTGTGTTCACTGTTACTTTATGTCTTTTTATTGCAGTTAAAAATTTGTAATTTATTTGATTGAGGAAAGTACTGTCCAAAGATAGAGAACCAGTTTGGTCTAATGGTTAAGGCACCAAGTTAGTGATGAATACTTGGTTAATCCCCTCAAAACTGTGGATCCTGCAATGATGATGGTGGAGGAGGAGGAGTTCAAAGATGCTGGCTAATCCTTAGATAACTAATCTAGGATTTTGATTCAGTGAATTTGATTAATGAAATATCCAATATGAATCAAATCTCAAAGCAAAATAATCTCAAAGCAGAAACAAAGAGCTTTAAGAACCAAATTATTGTGGTGTTTTTTTTTTGCTATCCTACAATACACTATATCACTGTATTTACATTGTGGGAATGTGTGAACCAACTCCCAGATTTCCCCAATGAGCATACATCATAAAGTTGCTAGGGCAGAAAAATACTCTATAAATCACAATGAATGCCAAATAACAACAGAACTATAAACCTACAACCCCCTATCTATGGCACCAACACATACAGGGTACTAATGATGGCCCAAGTCTGGTAATAATTGCCTGCAAGGAAACAAGCAAGCTCAGAGACCACTAAAACCTAACATTTCAACAAGGAGCTGCACGGGTGATATTCAGCCAGTTCTGACAGGTTCTGGAGAACAGGTAGCAGAAAGTTTGAGTAGTTTGGAGAACCGGCAAATAGTCTGGACCCACCCCAGCTGCCTCCCAGCTGATTTCTTTTGTTGCCCTGAACAGGAGAATGGAGCTGGAAAGCAGGTTAGTGGGGTGGGGAGGGAATGGGTATTTTGCAGTATCCCTTCCCCTGCCACGCCCACAAAGCTATGGCCACACCCATAAAGCCACGCCTACAGAACCAGTAGTAAAAACTTTTTGAATCCCACCACTGATGAGCTGCATATATTCTTTTCTAATGTATAATATATTTTGTTAGATTTTATGTGATGATGATCTAATCCATGTTTATATTATAATCATTCAATGGTTTGCTCCATGAACGTGGTTAACAAAGTAATTATCACTCATTTTCTTTTAACCTTCTCTCAGCCATTAAGTAATATTTTCCCTGATCATAAATCCAGAAAGAAATCTTGTGAGTGAAGCCATCTATAGGAATATCCAAATGCTAAATAATACATTATTAATACAGTCTACCAACCTGTGAAAGAAATAAATCCCTCCTGTTTTGGCAGCTGGAAAGGAGAGAACGTGGCCACCACTGAGGTTGAGATGACATTGGCAGTTTTGGATATCATTGAGGAAGTCAATGTATATGGAGTACCAGTGCCAGGTGAGTTTGAAACACCTATACACTCTTCTACACACCCTTTCCAATGGACATTTAGAAATCTGATTTGCAGAAGATTCTTAATCTGGTTACTGGATTTACCCATTTAGTGGGCTTGTGTAATATCCTTCCTCATACATTCACCTTAACCCTAACCCTATTGATTTATTTGTCAACTGATATGCCTCCTCAGCCATAGGGAGGGAGCTTATTGAACTTCCAGGTGTTCCATAGGGCTGGAACTGCAATAGAAAAGGACACTTCTAAGGACCCATAAGGTGACAATGTTTAAAAGAAGGAACCTGGAATGTGCCTCCAAGGAAGTCTCAGGGAGAGGCAATTCTTTAGTAACCAGGCCCTGTGACAAGTAGAGCTTTAAAGGTGGTACCAGTACAATTATGCCCTGAAGGAAACTGGAAGCTAGTGGAGTTCGTGGCACGACATAACCGCGAATGTCAAAAGTGCGCCGACAAAACCGCGGTGCTAAAATCGCGATGCCAACAGTGCGCCGACAACAGCGCGCCGACAACAGCGCGCCGACA